ACTGTGATAAAACTGACCAGGGTTTTGATGATAGCAGGATTGTGGTGATATTTAGCGCTGTGCTCCATGGAGGGAGGAGTAATGCTGTGGGAAGCAGGGTAGTGGCGTTGTCTTCTGACTGTGTGTGGCCACCTTTTATTGACTACACTCACCATACCAGCATAGTGGTTTGCTATGGTGAACACAAATGTAGATACTTATATATAACATGTGTGTAGAGGGTATAAACAGCAAGAGGAGTAGGTTGGGAGCTGCCATTTTGGTGAGGGCGGTGGCATCGTCTGCACGACTTATCATGTTGTTTACCGGTGACCACGATGATCTTTGGGCACCACACCAGTTTACTTGTGCAAGTATGGTGAATAAAACAGGTAGATATTTATATATAATGTGTATATATAGCATAATAACACCACAAACAGTATTGTTGGAGGAGAAATATTAGTGCGTCTGGCCTTGAGGGCAGCAGCCATCAGCTGACTGTGTGTAGCTACTTCTTTGTGCCTTTACTCGCCATACAAGCTTAGATGTACAGTTATGGTGAACAAAACATGTAAATACTTATATATAACGTCTGTATATAAAAGCAAAAACAGTATGGAGCTGGTCGGCCGAGCGGACAGCACGCTGGACTTGTGATCCTGTGGTCCTGGGTTCGATCCCAGGCGCTGGCAGAGTTTCTTTCACCCTATGCCCCTGTTACCTAGCAGTAAAATAGGTACTTGGGTGTTAGTCAGCTGTCACGGGCTGCTTCCTGGGGGTGGAGGCCTGGTCGAGGACCGGGCCGCGGGGACACTAAAAAGCCCCGAAATCATCTCAAGATAACCTCAAGAAGATGGTGGCAAGTCAGGTGAGGTGAGGGAGGGAGTGGCAGCCAGTGGCGGGCTGCCACTGCCACTCAGCATACCAACTTAGTGGTTCGTTATGGTGAACACAAATGTAGATACTTGTATATAGCGAATAAAAGCAAAAACATAATTGTGGGAGGAGAATGTGGGTGAGTCAGATGACTTCAGGGAGGGAGGAAGTAGCAGCCAGTGGTGGGCTGCCACTGTGCCCACTGCCACTCACCATGCCAACTTACTGGTTCGTTATGGTGAACAAAACATGCAGATACTTATATATAACCTGTTTATATAGTGTAATAACCGACACAGTATTTGTTCACTGTTTGATGAACATAATTGAATCAACAATATGCACACCATTACTAATTACCTAATTATTTCAATGTCTCAATATTGAATAACAATAAGGGACAAAACTGGCAATCCCCTCACAGTGTTCGAGAGAACTGGATAAGCACCTCCAAAGGATACCTGATCAACCAGGCTGTGACTCATACGTCAGGCTGCGAGCAGCCGCGTCCAACAGCGTGGTTGATCAGTCCACCAGCCAGGAGGCCTGGTCGACGACCAGGCCGCGGGGACGCTAAGCCCCGGAAGCACCTCAAGGTAACCTCAAGGTAACCATATTTTTGAGTACAGCGATGATTCACTCATTTTATTATATAAATATATCACACTACACACTATTGAATAATATTACAGCAAAAGAACTATGAAAAATCAATCAGAGACATTGAAATAATTAGGTAATTATCTTTGTGGCAGCTCCTGCCTGATAGCTGGCAAGCAACAGACCGTCTGGGACGCACGCTGAGTCAGCACCTGTTTTTTGCCAGACAACCCCGCCCTATAGCGGGCAATATATGCCACTTATGATTTTTTTTTTATTTTTCCCATTATCAGCGAACACAAATTAACAGGTTAGGAAGTAAAAAATATATATATTTTTTTGTATGCGCCTGTGGGTGTCAAATGGTATATAGCCATGCACCATTTTAAGGGTTAAAGAGGAGCTGGCATGCACAGAGCTCCTGAACTCATCCAATCAGGTGGTAGAGGTACTTGGAATCAAGGTAGAAAATATTAATCTACTTATTATTTTAATATACAAACTGCTAGATGCAACAATTGAGGAATTCACTGAACAGATCCAGAAAATAGAGAATATTCTTGATAACCTAGCAAACCCAGTACCAGATACTATCTTCCTTGGAGACTTCAATCTACCCAGTTTAAAATGGAGACTAGTAAACAATAACATTATAGCAGGAAATCAGCCTGGAAATAACCAACCACAGGTCAGAGAACTACTGAGATTCTGTGACAAATTCTTGCTCAGTCAGCAGATTACAGAACCAACTAGGAACGAAAACACACTGGACCTGATATTCACGAACAATGATGAACTAATCAGACATTACTGTCTCAGTCACTATGTACTCGGACCACAAGCTCATTGAAGTGGAAACTAACATTAATAATGGTAGTAGGCCCAAGAGAAACAACAAGCAAGAAGGGTTATTCAATAAATTCAATTTTAATAATAAAAAGATAGACTGGGAGAAAATAAACAGGGAACTTACAAACATTCAATGGGAAAATGTTCTAAGAAATAAAAATCCTACACAAGGAATAGAAAAACTGACTTCTGAAGCATATGAAGTCTGATACATGTTCCTTTGAGGAAAGCTAGAAAGAGGTCAAATGTAGAAAGAGAACGCAGATGACATTACAAAAGAAGGAAGAAATTAGCGGAAATCCTTAAGCAGACACAACTCTCCATACAAAGAAGAATTTAAACAGGGAGATTGAAGAAATTGAACAGAAACTGAAGCATTCCTATCAGACTGAAGAAAGGCAGCTAGAACAGAAAGCAATTCAAGAAATAAAGAAGAACCCAAAATATTTCTTCACATATGCCAAATCAAAAGCAAAAACCACTGCCAGTATTGGAATTGTTCGTATTAGTGAAGGATCATACACTGAGGATGACAAAGAAATTAGTGAAATCCTAAAAAAGCAATATGAGGACATGTTTAACACTCCGATACACAGCATGAAAGTGGAAGATTCGGACAATTTCTTTGAGCGATATCCAAACACCTGTAAATATAACTGATATCAACACGAGCATAGCAGATTTTGAAAGAGAAATTGATAATATGCCAATGCACTCAGCCCCAGGTCCAGACTCATGGAATTCAATATTTTTAAAGAAATGCAAAGTGCCAGTAGCACAGGCACTAAGTATAGTGTGGAGGAAGAGCTTCGACACGGGGGAGATATTAGATGCGCTGAAAGCAGCAGACATAGCCCCTCTACACAAGGGAGGTAGCAAAGCATTGGCAAAGAATTATAGACCAGTTGCACTAATGTCCCACATAATAAAAGTATATGAGAGTGATCAGGAGTCGGGTCACTAGATTCATGGAAACCAATGACCTCCACAATCCAGGCCAACATGGATTTAGAGCAGGAAGATCCTACCTCTCGCAGCTACTTGACCATTATGACAAAATCACTGAAGCAGTAGAAGAAAAACAGAATGCAGATGTTGTATACACAAACTTTGCAAAGGCATTCAACAAATGTGACCATGGAGTAATTGCACATAAAATGAGGTCAGTGGGTATAACTGGTAAAGTAGGACGCTGGATACTCAATTTTCTGTCGAACAGAACACAGAGTAAGTCAATCAAGTAAAATAAAGTCCGAGCGCAGTTAAATGCTCTGTACCTCAAGGTACAGTCCTTGCACCACTGCTGCTCCTTATTCTCATATCCGATATAGACAAAAATACAAGTCACAGCTTCGTGTCGTCCTTTGCAGATGATACAAAAATCAGCATGAAAATTACCTCTGCTGAAAACATTGAAAAACTACAGACAGACATTAACAAAGTTTTCAATTGGGCAGCAGAAAATAACATGATGTTTAACGGGGATAAATTCCAAGTTCTCAGATACGGCAAAAATGAGGATCTGAAACATAATACGGGGTACAAAACACAATCGAATCTGCCCATAGTAGGAAAACAACATGTCAAGGATTTGAGAATAATGATGTCCGACGACCTAACGTTTAGGGAGCATAATCAAGCAAGTATTGCATCAGCCAGAAAAATGATAGGAGGGATTATGGGAACCTTCAAGTCTAGAGATAACATCACAATGGTTGTACTCTTCAAATCACTTGTGTTGTCCCGTCTTGAGTACTGCTCAGTATTGTACTCACTTCCCCCTTCAGAGCAGGAGAGATTGCTGAAATAGAGGGAATACAGAGAACATATACGGCACGCATAGACGCGATAAAGCACCTAAATTATTGGGATAGTCTCAAAGCTCTCCAAATGTACTCACTAGAAAGGAGATGAGAGAGATACCAAATAATATACATATGGAAAATACTGGAGTGACAGGTCCCAAATCTGCACAGTAAAATAACAATGTACTGGAGTGAATGATATGGAAGAAAATGCAGAATAGTACCAGTGAAGAGCAGAGGTGCCATAGGCACAATCAGAGAACACTGTATAAACATCAGAGGTCCACGGTTGTTCAATGTCCTACCAGCGAGCATCAGAAATGTTGCTGGAAGAACCGTGGACATCATCTTGAGGAAAACAATCTAGTTTTCTCTTGGAGTGCCGGACCAACTGGGCTGTGATGGGTATGTGGGCCTGCTGGCCGCTCCAAGCAACAGCCTGGTGGACCAAACGTCTCACAAGTCAAGCCTGGCCTCAGGCCGGGCTTGGGGAGTAGAAGAACTCCCAAAACCCCATCAAGCAGTTATTAAGCAGGTAAGCCCTATGGCAGGGACACAATCGCATCAATCTTCTTAGATGCGCCAGCAGGACAACAGGAGGAAGACCTGGGAGTGGGGTGAGTACAAGTCATGGGAGAGTGGTTTATAGTGTGTGTGTGTGTAATATTTATTTATTTATTTATTTATTTATTTATTTATTTATTTATTTATTTATTTATTTATTTATTTATTTATTTTTTGGCTACAAGTTTCAATTCTTGCTCCAAGGTGCAACCTGGTTTTGCATCAGCAATTGATGTATATAGTTCAACCAGTTATGAGATCTGTAATTTTTTTTAAAGATTAAAATTATTATGTTCTTGTTAATTATGATTATTTTTATTGCAGCTGTGGTTTTGTTACATTTGACAAGGTTGAATCTGCAGAAAAATCAATTGCAGAAGTAAGTATAAAGTTCATTTGGTTAGGAATTTAACATTTTACTGACATCAAATATATATATGTACAAGGTGTATAACCTCCTCTTAAGAGTACATGGCATGTTGCCTGCATATTGTGACCATTCATATTGTATTGTAAAATATTAAAAAAAAATGTTTTAGATAACCATTATCAGTTGTACCATTTTTTGGGTGAGGAGGCATCAACTTGTAGGAAAACCAAGCATGAACGTAATGAAACGTCTCTTTCTGGGAGCCCCGGTGGCTCCCTGAGGCTAAGATGTGCCTCAACTCCCAACTACTGTACTGTATCCATTCAGCAATGGTGTTGGGTTTGGCGTACTGGGGACCAGAACCTGGCATCCCCTCACAGAGGTACAGAGAGCCAGTGACATTCACCCCACTACAAAACATTTCCAAAAATCGGCGAAGCAATAAAGATCACTGCTGGGTTCAAAGAGACTGAAGCCTCAGAACCCTCAAATGAAACTCTCCCAACAATGTAAACATGCAAACAAATCTCTCAAAATAAGAGTGAGCTCATTAGCACTTCCTCCACTAGTTTGCTAGGTGGAATGGGGGGGGGGGGGGGGCAGAGCTGCTGGGTACCCACCATGCTATGAAGCTAGTTTTGGAGCAGATGTACAAATGAAACCCCCCTACTCAATGACTGGTCGAGAGCCGGTCGGCCGAGCGGACAGCACGCTGGACTTGTGGTCCCGGGGTCGATCCCGGGCGCCGGCGAGAAACAATGGGCAGAGCTTCTTTCACCCTATGCCCCTGTTACCTAGCAGTAAAATAGGTACCTGGGTGTTAGTCAGCTGTCACAGGCTGCTTCCTGGGGGTGGAGGCCTGGTCGAGGACCGGGCCGCGGGGACATTAAAGCCCCAAAATCATCTCAAGATAACTCAAGATAACCTCAAGATAGCCTGGAAGGGAGGGAAGGAATCGGGAAGCCACCAGGGTTTACCCAGAAAGAGGCGAAAGAAACCAGATGCCTTTCCTCAGAAACCCATTCGATGCTGAGTTTCTGAGGAAAGCCCCATGTGGCTCCCTGAAGCTAATTACCCCACGGAGAAGAGAGGGATTTGCCAGGGAGGAGAAACCACAGGCAGTCGGAATGAAGACGAGGCCACAAGCTGAGAGACGTGACCCAAGGTGACACAGGCATAACAACCTTAAACTTTGCACAAGGTAAGAGAGGACCCAGAAGATGCCTCCATGGTATCCCCAAGCCCACTGAGGTTTTCCAAGGCCCATAGGGTGAGTCAGCCCTATGAGAAACTGAGGCATTGGGGCTAGCTAAGCTGGTAGAACCCTGTCTGCCTGCCGACAAAGTGACCACCAGTAACAGCTTTGAAACCTCGAGGCGCAACAGAGGAAGACCACCAACACAGCCAAGACTTGCCTAATAAAAAACTAGGAAGACCATCTCTGTTAACAAAAAGCAAAAATGCTAGAAAAGAAACTGGCAGCCAGAGATAATTGTGGTCGCTGCATGTACAAGCTGCGCCAGCCACAGTGTGCCCCGCCCAGCCAATAACTCCCCACCCGGGGCAAGATGAAAGCCCAAGACCCCCCCTCTCCCCGACATACCCTGAGAGCACCAGGGTATGTCGACAGAGAGCAACGTGAAGCGACAGTCGTCAAATGATAGTGAATCCAAAATGTCCTTGGGAAGATAACCCTTAAATGCAGGGGTAGTGCTTATAGAGTACTTAGGGAAGATAACCCTACGCACATGCTACTCACCACTCATACTGCTGATATAGCCACACAGGGCAAAATCCAGAACAGGGAATCGAGGCCAGAGGTGACCGAGCTGAGTCGGCTCCCCCCTCCTCCCTTTGGAGGGGGGATGGGAGCATTAACGAGCAGGAATGCTAGTTGGATGAAGTGTTGCTTGTTTGTTTTCTTTCTGGGGGGAGTTTTTTTTTTTTTTATCTTTTCGGACATAGTTCACAATTTTTACCAGATTGTGGTCGGTTTTGTTTCGTCTATCTTTCTGGGTGCCTTCCCCAATTGATGGCAATTATGACATACTTTAAATGTAAAGTGCTCATAGGCTATTGTTCCCTGCACCTCTCTGAGGGGGCCAGGTTCTGACTCATGGCCCCTGGTAGGCATAAGAACTCCTGTGACTGATGACCCCAAACTAATATAGCACACATCAGTTCGGATAGCATCAGGGAGCCAACGAGGCTCCCCACAGAAATGAGAACTTAAAAATAGAATACTGTATGCACATTAATCAGGCCATGTCAAAAATATGAAGGAAGAAAACAAAAAAAATTCTGGGAACAAGTGTGTACAGAAAACACAAGAGGGTCAAAAAATGACAGTAGCAGTACACAAATAGTGTATATCAAAATGGGCAAGTGTAGCCAAGCACAACTCGGCACCTAAAAAAAAAACTTTAGACAAAGTCCTACATAAGAACATAAGAGGTTGAACAAATCTACAAGGGCGGTGACGAGGATTCGAACCTGCGTCCAAGAGCATCCCAGACACTGCCTTAATCGACTGAGCTACGACATGGAGCCCTTGTGGATTTGTTCATTTGATGCATCACGTTATTGTGATTTCTGTGTGTAACATGTAAAGGTTCTGGAAAGTGGAACATGCTGGAGGAGTAACAGAGAGGCTTCTAACATTGATGAAAATTTTTCTAACGTCCAGAAAAATGAGAGCAGTAATCAGAGGCAATGTATTGGACTGAAGAAATGTCACGAGTGGAGTACCACAGGGTTCAGTTCTTGTACCAGTAATGTTCATTGTCTACATAAACCACCTACCAGAAGGAATACAAAATTATATTGACAAATTTGCTGATGATGCTAAGATAAGATACTTAAGATGATTGTCATGCCCTTCAAGAAGACTAGGATAAAATAAGTGTGTGAAGTACCACTTGGCAAATGGAATCTAATGTGAATAAATGTCATGTTATCGAATGTGGAGTAGGAAATATAACCACACACACAACCCTCAAAATATTATGTGAAAAACCTTTAAAAGTTCTGATAAAGACATCTAGGAGTGGTTCTAAAGAGAGAACTCTCACCTGAGGATTATATAGAGGAGCCTCCTATGTGAGGAGTCAATGCTACACTTTCCAATTTCAGAATTTCTTTAAAATACGTTGTTGGTGAAATACTAAAGAAATTGTTCACGACCTTTGTCAGACCAAAGTTGGAATATGCAGCAGTTATATTGTGCCCATATCTTTGAAGCACATGAACAAACTGGAAAAGGTGTTAAGACATGCAACTAAATGGCTTCTGGAACTGAAAGAAAAGAGCTACAAGGAGAGGTTAGGGGCATTAAATAGGCCAATACTAGAAGATAGAAGGAAAAGAGGAGATATGATAACTACATACAAAATAGAAATGGAAATGAACAAAATTGATAAGGAAGAATTCCTTAGACCTGGAACTTTTAAGAACAAGAGGTCATAGATTTAAGCTAACTAAACAAAGCTACCAAAGAAATATAAGAAATCCACTTTTGCAGTGTGATAGATAGTTGGAACCAGTTAATTGAGAAGGTGGAGGTCAAAATCATCAGTAGTTTCAAAGCATTATATGACAGAGTTCTGGGAAGAAGGGACACCACAGCGTAGCTCTCATCCTGTAACTACACTTAGGTAATTAGACTTTGGTAATTACAACATACTCAAGTCCTCCATCCTAATTGGGCTTCTTGTATACTCATAACTTCTGTATCCTCGGGGTCGGATCTTAAAATAAACAAATAAATAAATAAATTATTAATAGTTTTTTAATTAACATTGTGTGTCTTATCTGCCAGCAAAAGCAGCATGTAGGGCTTTTCCGCCCCCTCTCCCCCAGGTTCATTTCTGGGTGCTCTTGGGTTCCTCGGGTTTGTCTTTTCAGAGGTTTTCTTTCTCTCAGCTTCCCCCCTGTGGAGGTTCAGGATGCCCTCGGTGCACACCTTCTGTGAGACTGTTTTGCCTCTGTATTGGATCCGGTTTTGTTTGAGTTCGGTTCCTATTACACTGATCGGGTGCGTTAAGAGGATCCTGCGTCTTCCTGGCTGTCAGCCTTCCTCGATGACTGGCTAATGTGGGCTCCCTGCTGGTCTGCTTGTCTGCTAGCCAAGGTGTCCTCTTGTTGGTTGCTGCATCTCCAGCATCCTCTTCAGGTTTTTTGGGGGTTCACTGCCATGGCACCTTCCTCTTCCCTTGCTCGATGTGTTCATGGACACCTTGTCTCTCGGTTAGAGCTTTGTGACCAGCGCTCGCCAGCCCAGCCAGGGGCATTGTGCAGCATCCTTCCTTTGAGCTCACAGCACAGTGCGGGAGTTTGCGGCCGTGTGGCAGGTGATGTGGCAGATCTGTCTTCCATGGGGCTCGGTGATCCGGCTCCTTTTGAACTTCTCCCGCATGGTTCATTGGCTCGACTGGGGATGGGGTCTTTCATCTGTGGCTCTTTTAGGGCTAGTCACTTCGTGTAGCTCTTTTGCTAAGTTCTTGGGGTAAAACTCTCTGCGCCATTCACATTCAGGGTGTGTCCAATGTCTTGACAAATGGCCTGTCATGCTTCATTCCTCTCTCCACAGAGTGGATGGTTGACACCACCTCCTTCCTTTGGCTTTGTCAGACGGACGTATGGGTGCCTGGAGGTGGATCTCTTCACTTCGGCGTGGTCTTGGCGTCTTCCCATTTGTACGTGGCACCGTTCTCCGACTGCGAGGCCCTCACGGTAGATGCTTTTTGGCAGGACCGGTCGCGTTGCGGGTTCCTGCACCTCTTACCCCCGATCCAGCTGTTGTTCCGGGTTCTAGCATGGCTGGATTCATATCGGGGGAGAGTGGTTCTCCTGGTTCCATGGTGGCCAGCCCAGCCTTGGTTTCAGGCGCTACTTGCTCCGTGTCCAAACCCGGGAGTTTTTTGCGGCTAAGCCTCTTTCAGCAGATTGTGCCACTGAGGAACCTCATTGGTTCACCTTACTGCTCCTTTCTACGTGTCAGGTCTTTCTGA